GCTTCTTTGATGTGTTTTGCATTTTGCACATAGGTTTGTGATGCATTTCTATCCTCAAGAAAAAGATATAAAACTTCAGACCTCACAAACTAACAAGACATACATGGAAAAACCTTATGAACACCTTATATTAGAGCAGAAAGTACGCTGCCCTGACCACCATAAGAAAGACTCAGTATTAAATTATGCTGCATTAACTGACCAGTACATTATTGTGAGATAATGCAAAAGAAACAACCAAAAATTCCCCATGTCCTTGTTGGGGCTCTGTAAAAGTGAAATATGGTTCAAGTTCTAACTGGTTCTTCTAAAATGAAAACAAATGTGAAGGTTCAAATAGTGTGAATAGAAAAGGTAAAGACATAATGATGCTTTTCACAGATAAAAGTCAGGTTAAGATGTTGAAGAAAACAGTGTTTTAATCACATTTACTGCAGTGGAACACAATGATTTAATGATAGGGAATGCCACAGCTAAACAGCTTCTAGCTAAAGAGTAACTGGTTTGGTGTGTTTATATTTAACTGACAAGGTGAGGAAGTGTGGAATGAAGGTTTGTTAACCGTCAATCAGACTGGAGGAACTGGGAGGTCCACACAAACGGAACAATCCATCCTGAAAGACGTGTTTTAATCACAATAGAGGTCTCAACGGCTCCTAGCCCCGATGAACTGATAACAAAGACATGCATTTACCTGGAAAACAAAAAGCTGCACTTTGACTTCAATCACGCAAAATAAAAGACTCAGACTTTACTTAGACTCTGGTTTTAGGACTAAGATCTTGAGAACATTTATCTCATAATGTTTACTGCAGTAAGACTCAGAAGAGAACATGCTTTCATTTTTAATATGGTTCACTTATAAATGATGATGATGTTGCCTTAAGGTTTGGACAGTCAGCAGAATTGTAAAACAGGGCTGTTTCATAAGGAACAGAAAGAAAGACGGACATTGCTCAACGTCAAGTTTAACTGTGAGGAAACAAAATACATTGTTGTGTTGCAATATCTTGATGTGGCAACACAAGGTTATTGTGTAGTAACAATAACCTTGTGGTTATACTGGCCAGCAGGAAGATCAGCTCACCAGCACTTTCTATATATGAACAATAGTCATATTTCTGTGCTATAAAACTGCATGGACGCTATAAAAAGTACATTTCATTTTATGTTGCTAAGATCAACTTGGGAGGTGAAATTACAACCACGCAGGAGACTCCAGACAGTTTCTAACTCAAAACAATTTGAGTTACACTACTGCAATTTCAGGTCTTATACAGGAGAAACTCTACTTACTAATGTTAGTTATGACCACTGTAAACCAACCAACCAAGTGACCTTCTTAGCATGACCATGTTCAGGCATAAAGAAAACAGGTGAAAGAGTCTCCTTTTATTCTCCACCCATGTTGGGAGTTATTTGGGTGCCAGGTGACCTCAGTGCTGCAGGGCAGGCTTCATCCTGCTAACCGACACTGATAACATCTAGCAGCTGTCTTTACTGTTAGAGCCTGCCTCACTTTACACAATACTGTTAACTATTGCCAAAAATACCTGAATGTGAAGATTGAGGGGCAAATGGCTCTGATGGCAAAATGTGTTCCAGCCCAGTACCAAACTGTAGTAATGGCTTCAGTGGGTAAGATTAACCAACTACCTTAACCTAATGAGTTGTTGCCTAAACACAATAACAGTCATTCTCATAAAAAAGAACACATTCTTTTAGCTCTATAATTTTAAATATAAGTATGTAACATTGTATGGTCTGAAGCATTATGAAGAACAAAATAGATTTAAATCAAATGTTGTCTAGAAAAGCACAACAGATTTCTTGCTGTAATGTGTTAAACAAAAGAGCAAAAATATATTTTACAGCTTCTAGAACCACATTAAGCTGCAGTAACTCAGTTCTAACTTGTCTGTTAAATAATAGGGGAGGAATGTTGGTTTTAATAACAAGGTTTCAGTCCATTGATATTCCCAGACTTGTTCAGACAGAGCTCTCTTTTAGCTTCGTTTCCCTCCTTGGTTTAATAAATGACAGTAGAGAAATATGGTCTGATTTTGTACATTAGAGAATCTGATAGAGACCAGATCATTTTATTATGTCCTTATAACCAGGATATGTAAATAGATTATTACAAATCTATTTGATGGCAGCCTGTTCAATGAAATCCCATCATTTTGAGAAGCTAAGAACTCATTGAGGCTTTTCACATCTTAAAGTTTTACTTGGGGCTACCAGAGAAAAAAAGAAGTGAACTAAATATGGTTAATATAAAATTGCGACAAACATGGTTGTTTCTCAACCCTTGTGACTCAATCCTAAGAACACAAAGAGTAAATGAAAGCACTCTTATGGAACGATACATAATATAAATAAAGATATCCTGATCCATTTTCTTTGATTATCTCCTGCAGGACTAGCAGCTGTGATCCAAACCCAGCAGACGGTGTCAGCAGCAGTAGGAGAAGATGCTCCTCTCAGCTGTCAGCTGCTGGAAACTAAAGACGTCCAGCAGGTCACCTGGCAGAAGGTCCTGGAGAGAACAGAGAGGAATATTGGTTCCTACAGCGAGTATTATGGTGTAACAGTGAATGATGGATTTAGAGATAAAGTTCAGTTTACAGAAGCTGGACTGCAGAAGAACTCTATAGTTATCAGGAACGTTACAGATCAGGATGCAGGATGTTATCTCTGTCTGTTCAACACATATCCTGATGGAGCTCTGACAGGACGAACCTGTCTGACGGTTTATGGTGAGAACCTGAAACTATACATTTCAAAAATACTTTATTCATCCCAAAGGGAAATTGAATGTTGTCACACATATTATTCAGATTTCTATAAAAAGATGCTCATGATTGAGCAGAAAGGGTCTCATGTGACAGTCAGCAGTTCAATCTGGAAAGACTCAGACGAAGAAAAAAAAACAATTAAAAGATTTAATGACGGCAATGAATAACAGTTCTTTGGCGCTCGGGCCCCGGCAGCTGATCTGAGCTGAGATTTGATGTGAACTCGATGAAGATCCCGATAACCGATTAGGGATGCTCTCCCCCCGGGGCTCGACACTGGTGGTGGAGGTCTGGAAGGGTGCCATCCTGGAGAGCCGAAGGATGTGGGTGGAGAAGGGGCGGTGGTGGGTTGAACGCAGCTGGGAAGCGGCTGACGGCTTGGGTGTGGATCCTTTTATGCTGAGCTTGATTGATGATTGGACACGCCAGGTGAGGTCCAACGCTGAGGTCGGAGATGAGCATGACGCCGATGGACGAACGGAGGGGATGGAGTCTTCCAGGTTGAATTTTCGCTATTAGCTCCATTTCTAGAAAACCCTCTGACAGAAGACACCATTTCTTCTTGTGTTCAGGATTGTTCATAATTAACTTGATTTAGTGACAAATCCTTATTTGTATCATCATCCTCAGAGTTTCCACAGTCGTCCCCAGAACAGAACCAGCCTTCTTTATCAGGCGCTTGAGTCTGATGCTGTTGCCACAACACATGACAGCAGAAGATGATGCTCTCCTCAACAAAGTACAGTCTCTGCAAACACTGAAGGACCTTAGTTTCCTTAAGAAGTGAAGTCTACTCTGTCCCTTCTTGTAGCTTTACTGTTCTAACTCTAGTCAGTTTGTTGTCCAGATGAATACCGAGGTATTTATAATCCTGGACTTTATATAGTACGCTGCCCCACTCATTGTTTGACTAACAGTGTTGGTGTTGCGATATTGCGCCCAACTGCTTTCTGGGTAACACAAACCATGCTGCCGCCGCAGCACACCCTCTTCCCCTCGCTTTACATATATAGGGACTGGTCCCTTATTTTAATTTCTGAAAGGTTGCAACCCTACCCTTGATGGAAATGGGGTTTGATCTAACTCTGTTCCTAAAAATCTAAATCTAAAATCAACTTTTTTTTTGTTCATATTCAAGATGAGATGATTGTTCCCACACCATGACACAAAGCGGTCCTTCAGCTCTCTGCACTCACCTTCTGGACCATCTCTGACACAAGTAACGGCTGCAGAGTCATTTGAATATTTCTGTAGATAACGGGAGTCTGTTTCACAGTGGAAGTCAAAGTCTAGAATGAAAAGGAAGGGTAAGAGTGCGGTACCCTGTGGTGCTCCTGTGTTGCTTAGCACCTGTTCTGTTCAGGACTCTTGGGCTGTTCTGGTTCAGTCCTCCAGCTGCCTCTTTATACTTTTTATAGATACAGAGAAGTGGAAAGGAGAAGCAAAGAGAGCAGCTGCCTGATTCGGTTAACAGCAGAAGAATCCGTGACTGAGGTAGAAAATAAAACATCTGAGGCTTGACAGGAAAGCTCTCAAATGAAAGGAGGGTAGGAGGTCTGTTTGGCTGGGAGCAGGGGAGGATGATGATGATGATGATGATGATGATGATGATGATGATGATGATGATGATGATGATAATGATGGTGATGATGAGCTTGAAGAATGAGTCCAGCTCATTTGCTCTATCCAGACCACCATCTGTCAAATCATCCATTGTGTTGAAAACCTGTGATCTTCTTCATGCCTTACCTCACATCTTTAATATTTTTTGATTTGTCAAGAGAAGGTCTTGCTTTGCAGACGTGTCCATCTTTGACATTTACATAGAAGAAATCCAACGTCTTGTTTTCTCTGGTAGGGCAGCTGTCAAACTGTTGAAATGTAACTGCAGCTGATATTGGGCGTGGCTGAAATCCACAAATGTTGCCACAAATACCTTGGGGTGTAATGTCTTCAGCTTAACAACTGAACTGATGAAATTATGCATCGTCAGTAGCAGCTGAGGGTGGAATGTGAGCAGTTGTCAAAGTAACACTTTCTCTTGGTAAATAATATGGACAGTTCCAGAAACGACACTTCACAGCAACATGGACGACACCATCTGTTGTTCATGAGCACCGCTTATCCACATTTGCTTTTGNCCGCCATAAAAAAAAGGAAGAAGAAGAAGCGCTTCAGTGCGGTTCAGTTACTCCATGTGATTCAACATGACACCACTAGGATACAGTTAAAAAACTAAAGTGATTAAATATTAAAGTATATTGTATTAGTGCAGAATAAAAATTGTAAAACAAATTAAAAATGTTAAGCGCAATTTATGTATTTTGATTTTATCATTCAAATCCAAATGGTCTGAGAAAAAGGGACAAGGTATTTGACTTAAAGTACAAACTTTAAAAATAAAACTATAATGTGGTTTATATTATCAAATGCCATCTGTGAATAGATTTTGTGATGTGGTAAAATTTATAATGTCACATTGAGCTTGTTAAAAATAATCCTTGTTCAGTTTAAAGTGATATTATGACCATTTGTCATGTACTGAGTTACTCAGTGATACCTGAAGTATTTTATACGAATTATTGTATGTGGAGTATATTGTATATGGAGTATGTTTAGAAGAAGAATAAACCTTTGTGCTAAGTTGAACGTGTGTGTCTCATCTTTTCTGTCACACGCCACACATTGAGAGGACAAATCACTTTACCTTCAGCCCATCCAAGGTTGCCTGGTAATATCTGTCTGATGTTATATTGTCACATGACATTTTTAACAATTAAGTAAAAAAAAAAAAAAAAAACAGAAGTCACTTTACCTTTAGTGCTCAATTATGTTGAACTCTTCTAATTTGTCAATCTATTGTAGCTACGATGGCAAAAGCAAAATCAAACTGAATATATTTGGACCAAGGGGGGAAAAAAATCATTTTTAAAATTTTTTTTTAATGAATGATTTAAAATGAATGAAATTTCTAAATGCTGTGAAACCAGTCAATAGCTGTTCTTAACATATTAAATAAGTAATTATATAAAATAATGGTTGCTAAAAGTAAATAAATAAAAATATGTTGCAACAGTTTGGATCAATGTAATGTAATATTTGATTTGATTTCTGGATGTGAAAATATGCACAAATCCATCCACAGAGGGAGACAGAGCTCCAAGCACGAATGTAGAAAACAATCACTTTTATTTCAGAAGGAACTCAACAGTTTGCTTTCTGACGGAGAAACATTTACAGAATTAAAAGTTGATTTGTTTGGGTGTCTGGAAGTGAAGGAAAACACCAAGTTGCAGCTAAAGTAATGAATGATATTATCGTCGGTACTGACAGTAGTACCCGACGATAGTAGAGTGAGTTAGACAATGAATCAAATGACTCATTGGTTAAGAGGCTCCACGTGTTATCTTTGAATCATTTCTCCGCCTGCAGCTCTCCAGCACCACGTTGCGATGCCGCATGGAGGGAATGTGTTTAATTTTCTGTCTTTTTACCTTCGGAGGATCATTTCAGAAAGGTGAGAACAAACACTGATCGTGTACACGGAGTTGATTTTTTGTTTTCTAATTTATTCCTATGATGAAAGCATGCCTACTTGTTATTCATTCATTAATTCATTTATTTGTTCATAAATAAATGCGCTCCGATCTGAATTAATTCATTAGGTACTCTGAAATCTGATGATATGGACTTAACAGAACCGTTCTTAGTTTAACTACTGTAACATTTCGGTTCAGACCAAACAATGGTGGCACAGAGCCTGGATTGCTGCTTCAGGCGGTTTCTTTTCTTTTTTTTTTTTTTTTACTATAGTCATTAAACCGATGGGCGGGGCGAGAGGGGATTCATGTTTAACCTACAATTAAATTAATTTCTTAAATAAATGTACTTCTAATAGTTTTACTGCTGCAGACTTTTTACCTGGTGAATAATATTTTAAGTAACTTAACTGAGTTTCTGGCTTCAATTCTCATCTGCTGAGCCTGTTGTTCACAGAGGGCCAGTAAATCTATAAAATACATCTCACAAACTAACGTGGAAAAACCTTACGAAAACCTTATATTAGAGCAGGAAGTACGCTGCCCTGGCCACCGTAAGAAAGACTCAGTATTAAATTATGCCGCATTAACTGACCAGTACATTATTGTGAGATAATGCAAAAGAAACAACCAAAAATTCCCCATGTCCTCGTTGGGCTCTGTAAAAGTGAAATATGATTCAAGTTCTAACTGGTTCTTCTAAAATGAAAACAAATGTGAAGGTTCAAATAGTGTGAATAGAAAAGGTAAAGACATAACGATGCTTTTCACAGACAAAAGCCAGGTTAAGATGTTGAAGAAAACAGTGTTTTGATCACATTTACTGCAGTGGAACACGATGATTTAATGACAGGGAATGCCACAGGTAAACAGCTTCTAGCTAAAGAGTAACTGGTGAGGCGTGTTTATATTTAACTGACAAGGTGAGGAAGTGTGGAATGAAGGTTTGTTAACCGTCAATCAGACTGGAGGAACTGGGAGGTCCACACAAACGGAACAATCCATCCTGAAAGACATGTTTTAATCACAATAGAGGTCTCAACGGCTCCTAGCCCTGATGAACTGAAAACAAAGACATGCATTTACCTGGAAAACAAAAAGCTGCACTTTGACTTCAGTCATACAAAATAAAAGAATCAGTCTTTACTTAGACTCTGGTTTTAGGACTCAGATCTTGAGAACATTTATCTCATAATGTTTCATTTTTTAATATGGTTCACTTATAAATGATGATGATGTTGCCTTAAGATTTGGACAGTCAGCAGAATTGTAAAACAGGGTTGCTTCATAAGGAACAGAAAGAAAGACGGACATTGCTCAACGTCAAGTTTAACTGTGAGAAAACAAAATACATTGTTGTGTTGCCATATCTTAATATGGCAACACAAGGCTATTGTGTAGTAACAGTAACCTTGTGGTTACACTGGCCAGCAGGAGGATCAGCTCACCAGCACTTTCTATGAACAATAGTCATATTTCTGTGCTATAAAACTGCATGGACGCTATAAAAAGTACATTTCATTTTATGTTGCTAAGATCAACTGGGGATGTGAAATTACAACCACGCAGGAGACTCCAGACAGTTTCTAACTCAAAACAATTTGAGTTACACTACTGCAATTTCAGGTCTTATACAGGAGAAACTCTACTTACTAATGTTAGTTATGACCACTGTAAACCAACCAACCAAGTGACCTTCTTAGCATGACCATGTTCAGGCATAAAGAAAACAGGTGAAAGAGTCTACTTTTATTCTCCACCCATGTTGGGAGTTATTTGGGTGCCAGGTAACCTCAGTGCTGCAGGACAGGCTTCATCCTGCTAACCGACACTGATAACATCTAGCAGCTGTCTTTACTGTTAGAGCCTGCCTCTCTTCAGTGTTTACACAATACTGTTGTAACTATTGCCAAAAATACCTGAATGTGAAGATTGAGGGGCAAATGGCTCTGATGGCAAAATGTGTTCCAGCCCAGTACCAAACTGTAGTAATGGCTTCAGTGGGTAAGATTAACCAACTACCTTAACCTAATGAGTTGTTGCCTAAACACAATAACAGTCATTCTCATAAAAAAGAACACATTCTTTTAGCTCTATAATTTTAAATATAAGTATGTAACATTGTATGGTCTGAAGCATTATGAAGAACAAAATAGATTTAAATCAAATGTTGTCTAGAAAAGCACAACAGATTTCTTGCTGTAATGTGTTAAACAAAAGAGCAAAAATATATTTTACAGCTTCTAGAACCACATTAAGCTGCAGTAACTCAGTTCTAACTTGTCTGTTAAATAATAGGGGAGGAATGTTGGTTTTAATAACAAGGTTTCAGTCCATTGATATTCCCAGACTTGTTCAGACAGATTTCTCTTTTAGCTCCCACCACAGTATTGTGACCAGTTTTTGTCTAGATTTTGTTGGAACTGCTGCAGACAAAACCATCCCAAATTCCTGTTTTTATAAAAGTGCTCTCTCAAAATTATAATAATTTTGTCAACACATTTGATCAACATCATCGAGCTGCAACTTCCCTGCTAAAAATCCAATGGAAGCAGCATTAGTTTAGTTTTCTTAGGGTGTAACGTTTCCCTCCCTGGTTTAATAAATGACAGTAGAGAAATATGGTCTGATTTTGTACATTAGAGAATCTGATAGAGACCAGATCATTTTATTATGTCCTTATAACCAGGATATGTAAATAGATTATTACAAATCTATTTGATGGCAGCCTGTTCAATGAAATCCCATCATCTGTTTTTAGATAAACTAAGAGCTCATTGAGGCTTTTCACATCTTAAAGTTTTACTTGGGGCTACCAGAGAAAAAAGAAGAAGTGAATAAAATATGGTTAATATAAAATTGCGACAAACATGGTTGTTTCTCAACCCTTGTGACTCAATCCTAAGAACATACAGAGAGAGTAAATGAAAGCACTCTTATGGAATGATGTATAATATAAATAAAGATATCCTGATCCATTTTCTTTGATTATCTCCTGCAGGTCTAGCAGCTGTGATCCAAACCCAGCAGACGGTGTCAGCAGCAGTAGGAGAAGATGCTCCTCTCAGCTGTCAGCTGCTGGAAACTAAAGACGTCCAGCAGGTCACCTGGCAGAAGGTCTTGGAAAGAACAGAGAGGAGAATTGGTTCCTACAGCGAGTATTATGGTGTAATAGTGAATAATAGATTCAAAGATAAAGTTCAGTTTACAGAAGCTGGACTGCAGAAGAACTCTATAGTTATCAGGAACATCACAGATCAGGATGCAGGATGTTATCTCTGTCTGTTCAACACATATCCTGATGGAGCTCTGACAGGACGAACATGTCTGATAGTTTATGGTGAGAACCTGAAACTATACAATTCAAAAATACTTTATTCATCCCAAAGGGAAATTGAATATTGTCACACATATTATTCAGGGTTCTATAAAAATATGCTTATGATTGAGCAGAAAGGATCTCATGTGACAGTCAGCAGTTCTAGAAAACCCTCTGACAGAAGACACTATTTCTTCTTGCGAAGAGGATGTTCAGGATTGTTCATAATTAACTTGATTTAGTGACAAATCCTTATTTGTATCATCATCCTCAGAGTTTCCACAGTCGTCCCCAGAACAGAACCAGCCTTCTTTATCAGGCGCTTGAGTCTGATGCTGTTGCCACAACACATGACAGCAGAAGATGATGCTCTCCTCAACAAAGTACAGTCTCTGCAAACACTGAAGGACCTTAGTTTCCTTAAGAAGTGAAGTCTACTCTGTCCCTTCTTGTAGCTTTACTGTTCTAACTCTAGTCGGTTTGTTGTCCAGATGAATACCAAGGTATTTATAATCCTGAACTTTATAAGGTAAGCTGCCCCAGTCATTGTTTGACTAACAGTGTTGGTTTTGCGATATTGTGCCCAACTGCTTTCTGGGTAACACACACTACCCTGCCGCTACAGCACGCCCTCCCTCCCCCTGCTTTACATATATAGGGTCTGGTCCCTAATTTTAATTTCTGAAAGGGGGCAACCCTACCCTTGATGGAAATGGGGTTTGATCTAACTCTGTTCCTAAAAATCTAAATCTAAAATCAACTTTTTTTTTTGTTCATATTCAAGATGAGATGATTGTTCCCACACCATGACTCAAAGCGGTCCTTCAGCTCTCTGCACTCACCTTCTGGACCATCTCTGACACAAGTAACGGCTGCAGAGTCATTTGAATATTTCTGTACATAACAGGAGTCTGTTTCGCAGTGGAAGTCAAAGTCTACAGAGTGAAAAGGAACTGTAAGAGTGCAGTACCCTGTGGTGCTCCTGTGTTGCTTAGCACCTGTTCTGTTCAGGACTCTTGGGCTGTTCTGGTTCAGTCCTCCAGCTGCCTCTTTATACTTTTTATAGATACAGAGAAGTGGAAAGGAGAAGCAAAGAGAGCAGCTGCCTGATTCGGTTAACAGCAGAAGAATCCGTGACTGAGGTAGAAAATAAAACATCTGAGGCTTGACAGGAAAGCTCTCAAATGAAAGGAGGGTAGGAGGTCTGTTTGGCTGGGAGCAGGGGAGGATGATGATGATGATGATGATGATGATGATGATGATGATGATGATGATGATGATAATGATGGTGATGATGAGCTTGAAGAATGAGTCCAGCTCATTTGCTCTATCCAGACCACCATCTGTCAAATCATCCATTGTGTTGAAAACCTGTGATCTTCTTCATGCCTTACCTCACATCTTTAATATTTTTGGATTTGTCAAGAGAAGGTCTTGCTTTGGAGACGTGTCCATCTTTGATATTTACATAGAAGAAATCCAACGTCTTGTTTTCTCTGGTAGGGCAGCTGTCAAATTGTTGAAATGTAACTGCAGCAGATATTTAGGCGTGACTGAAATCCACAAATGTTGCCACAAATGCATTGGGGTGTAATGTCTTCAGCTTAGCAACAACTGAACTGATGAAATTACGCATCGTCAGTAGCAGCTGAGGGTGGAATGTGAGCAGTTGTCAAAGTAACACTTTCTGTTGGTAAATAATATGGACAGTTCCAGAAACGACACTTCACAGCAACATGGACGACACCATCTGTTGTTCATGAGCACCGCTTATCCACATTTGCTTTTGCAGCTCTTCTTTAGAAGTTACTCCTGTTGTAAGCCGTCTTCCTATTATGGTTGTGCATCATGACAAATGCCCAAAAGTAAATCAGTAGCAAAACTGCTTCCAAGCTGCAAAGTAGTCAAAACCAGAAGGAGCCGTTTTAAAAAAAGGGTATGAAAGTCATAGCTAGTCCAGCATGCTACCACCTAGCATACACCAAGAGGATTACAGGGTTCATTTCAATAACTTAATGTCAACCGTCATGTCTGTTCTCTCCACAGAGCTGCATGGACCCTTCATTACTATCAGCAGATCAAACTCTCCTCCAGGGTCAGTTGTGACCTGTTCAGCCACAGGTCGACCTGTTCCCATGGTAACACTGACTGTTTCCGATCAGAACCTCAGCTTCTCCCACTGCAACACCAGCAGAGAGACCAACACCAACGGTACCGTCACCGTCATTACTACAGCTCTGCTGTCAGCTCTCAGCAGCACACAGGTTGGATGTTTAGTATCTGTGGACTCTGCTGCTCCCAGAGAGCTGCTGGTCACCGTTCCTGATTTCAAAGATTCGTCTGATGAAGGTGAGGAACTCTGACGCACAGTGCCTCACAGATATATTCTCATCCATCAATCTTTTCAATTTTGTCACAGTTCAACCAAACACTTTTGGGAAAGTGATTATGAAGAGACCCTATTTCAAACAATAAAATTAAAAATATGAAACGTCTGGCTCACATTTGTTTTAAGTTGTTTCAATATTTGATAAAATTCCCTCCAGTTTGCATTTTTATGTTACTAATGTCTCTATGAACATTCCATGTTTAGAGGCCAGAATATTTGTATATTTTTTTAATTTATCAAATTGCTCCATCTCAATCAGATTGGACGAAGAGCGTCAAGTGTGCAGAAAATCAAATTAACAATCTACTTAATTTTTGATCTGCTTCACACCAAAAAGCCATTCTGTTTTGATGTGAATTTAGGCAATAGATTAATCGACTTCACTTCTCAGATTTCTGTTGAAACTGAAATGTATGTATCATTCTCCCTCATCTTCATATCTGCATATCATTGTGCTGGTCTCATAAAATCTCTTTAAAATGCATGGAAGTTTAGATTTGTAATGCAACAAAATGTGGAAAACAATAGGAGTAAAGTGGTGTTTGTGTGTGTGTGTGGGTGTGTGTGTGTGTGTGCGTGTGTGTGTGTGTGTGTGTGTGTGTGTGTGTGTGTGTGTGTGTGTATGGGGGACCTCTATGGGTGTGATTACTTTTGGGCACTGTGTATAAACTGCAGACCACTTTGTGATCGTAAATGTTTGAATCTCTTTTACCAGGTTTGAATAAACAATTGGAATCAGATTTCAGAGGTTTCAGTAAGTTCATGTTCATATTCTCACATGTTGATTTTTAACTTTGTTCTGTTGTTGAAACATATTTCATCTTCTTCCTAAAGGATGGCCTCTGATTGTTGTATTCCTGGGGTTCCTGATCTGTATTTGTGTTTTACAATTCAGAAGAATATCTCAGAACAGGTACCTCAATTAAACAGTGTTTTTGTTGTTGAGTTTCACATCATTAATGTCTCATATTTGATTTACTGACTCTAAAATAATTCCCAGGAATATGAAACCTTCAGAGAACGTCACAGACAATCAAAAGTAAGGATTTTATTCATCTATTCCTCAGTTACACAGATGGAGATTTATTTCCTCTTTCACATTCTCTTATATCGTTGTATATACTCTATATTTCGTAGACATTATAAGCCAGATTAATTTCTTGTCAACATGTTAATTTTATTTTTAAGGTTGAACAACTCACCAGTGTCGAACAAAGACGACAGACAACGAACATCTGAGAGGCAGAGACAAAACGGCGAGTCCCATACATCACCATGACAACAGAATCACCTCATTTGGGTGTCTGATTAAACAGAGGACCTTTATCCAAAGATGTATGAGAAACATTACATATATTTCATGCACATAGTGTCATTTCATAGCATGATCAAATAACCTTTGGTTTTTACAAAAATACTGTTCATATCAGAAAGAAATGTAACTTATTGGTTGTCACTGGAGATTCCAGAATTTTTCAGACATGGATCAATGAGTCAAGGCAACACTGCAGGTATGTGTTTGATGAGCGACTGACATTATAACATGATGTAGAACTCAAATAAGTAGATTTTACAAAGACAATTTCTTGACAACANTTTGATCAGAAATTGTGTCAATTTCTGATCAAATTGATACAAAATACTAAAATTTCAAATTTGATATTGATACTCAGAAAATACTCAATTTTATTTCGATACTGCTGAAACTCTTTTGAAGTGACAGTGTTCCTCCTAGTGAAGAAAAAAAAATGTAGCAGCTGTACAATTAGCATGTAGCATTACACATTAGCGGATTAGCATTCAACATAAGTTTTTCCCTTTCTCCTTTTATCAAACAACTCTGTTTATTATTTTGTAAAAAAAAAAATTCAGTCTGACGATATAATCAGCAAACACAAATGTGACAAGTAACTCAGATAACAGTAGCTGTAAAATGTCAGCTGGAACAAAACCAAACTAGAATCAAAGACATTTTGTTAATATTCAGGGAAAAGACATTTTTATTTATTTATTTTTATTTTTTTATGATGGTGACATCAATGTATTGCTATTTGACTCTGAGAAAAAAAATACAACTAAGATAATCATCTCAAAGCTATTGTTAGCTCTTTATGTGAAGCCAGCCAACAAATGTTCTTTGAATATACATTTCAAATAAATAATAATAGAAAAAAGGTTGCCACACAATAATCTGAATCTATGCAATGTCATGTATAGATTCATCTGGATGTAAAAATATGTACAAAAAAAATATGTACACATGTGAAGGTAGAGGTACAAGCTCGAATGTAGACAACGCACTTTGATTTCAGAGGGTTATGAAGGAACTCAGCAGTTGGATTTTGCTTTTCCAAATCTGACTGAGAAACATTTCCAGCATTATAAGCTGAGCTGAAGGAAAACACCAAGTTACAGCTAAAGTAATGAAAGATATTGCACTGTTATTATTGATACTAACTGAAAGTAGTGGAGTGAGACAGGACAGGATCCCATATGATGGATGGGTTAAAATAAAGATTCTGTCATAAAGTACTGTATTAGTCATGATTTACTTATGTATTACAGAAAGGTTTATTATTATTAGACATTTTTTGCACTGTTTTCATCTGTTAATTATGTTATGGAAAACATGACCCCACCTGGGTTTACTTTCAATCTCTAATTTACATTTTGAATCAATTGTAAACTACTGATGTCCCCTGTCTGTAAGATTTGTTGAGCATTGCTCATTAAGATGGTGAATTAAAAAATATTGTTAAATATTGATTTTATTGTGGGGGGTTTTCTCAGTTCCTTCTGCTTATTTATTTTCATCGCATAGCAGTCATTTATCTGTATTTCTTAGTTCTTGTTTCAGTTCTGTGTTTTTTTTAAGTCACCCTTTTGGTTCTAATCGTAACTATTTTTCTTATGTTTCTAGTTTGTTTCAATGTCTGTCTTCAGTTCCTTCCTTGTCTTTAGTCACAGCTGTAACCACTTCCTAATCAATCACTTGCTCCTTATTTAGGAATCAACTCTCCAGATGTTAGATCATCCCGTTCCTGTTTCCTTTTCTTCTTGTCTATTATTTTGGTTTCCATCACAAATGTATGACAAACTTTGTCTATATTTCTATTTTAAGATTCACAATTGCAGTGTTTCAATTAACTATGAAACGCAGTTTAGATTTTCCACCAGTGCATCATAGCTCATATTACCGGTGAAGTGTGGGCCACCAAGAACAATTTATTTCTTCTTTTTGCCCATACACAGGATGATTTCTACATGTTAAGGTTTTATGAATATAAGCTGGCAGCATTCACTTATAAATATTCAGAAAATTGTAGAGCAAAAGCAGACGGAGTCCAAATCAAAGTTCACTCTTTTATACTGATTAGAGGTGTGCCGATCGATCGGTCACCGATCATAATCGGGCCGATTTCCGTGAAAAAGTGCATGATCGGTTGAGGACAGGAAGGTAAGTTAGAAATTAGCAGCACTCTTTTCTCGTTTTTAAAGCTGAAAGGG